CCCCAAAACCCCAAAACCCCAAAACCCCAAAACCCCATTTATCAAGATTAAATTCAAAGTAGAGTTTTAAAATAATTAGTTAATCAATTAAGTTTACTTTAGTTAGTCTTACCTAAACATTAAGTCTGCTAACTTCATTCAATAGTTATGCTTTTCCTCTTCTATCTCAAAGTCATCATCGTAGATTACATTTGAAGAATCAAGGTCTTAGTGTTGCTGCACTACAACTTGTCTGCTACTTTTATTTCTATTGCTACTATCACCAGTTTCATTAATACTGCTTAATGCTTGCCTCTGTTAGTCATTCCTATTGTTCATATTAATTAGCTCACTCATGCCCTGAATACCTATTCTTCTACTGCTTCTCTTTGGAGGGAATATCTGATTATCATTACTACTTTGATTGTTTCCTCTGCTTAGTGGACGAATATTGCTTTAATTATCTTGGTTGTTTCTGGACTGAAGCTAAAGAACATTTGGACTAAGGTCATCATTGATGCTTGTATTGTTGTTATTCTGTTTATTATTGCCTTGCATTTGCTAATGCTACAGATGATAATGATTGATATTTCCAAAACTCATTCTTTGATTATCAAAGTTGTCATTTTACTTAAGGTAAGAATTCTGATATGATTGATACAACTGCTAATTGATCTGAGATTGATCCTAAGTCATTTGATTGTTGTTCTAATTATTATTACTAATATTTATGTTATTGTTGTTATTATTCTGAGTGTTGATGTTGCTATTAGTGTTTCTACTGGAGTCCTAGGAAGCATTCATAGACCCGAGTAACAATGTAGCTAGTTAGTTCTTGCGATCTATTTCATTGTTCATGTTGCTGATTGAGTAATAGTTGTTAACGTTATTATTATTATTGTTGTTGTTACTGTTTGGCCTGCTTGGCACAATCATTGGAATTCTACCTCTTTAAGAATTCTCTCCGAATAAACTATATTAAGTTAATTGGCTAATAATCTTACTTAGATGGGATGGCTGAATTTGAATTATCAATGCCGGTTAATTGAGATTAACTATTATTATTGTTATAATTGGTGTTAGCATTGTGATTGTTTTAATTATTGCTTCTAAAGTCAAATCTTGGCTTAGTGTATTGCATATTAATGTGCTGATTACTGCTGCTCTAACTATCTTGAAGATTGTACTGACTTCGCTAGAAGAATGGATTGTTAGAGAATATAGATCCCCCACCGCCTCCTACTAAATTATTGTTGTTATTTTGGTTATTTTAAAGTCTGTTTATATTAGATAATTACTACGATGAGAGTACTCCATTGCTATGCAGCCCCTGCAAATTAGAACTATTGTCTAGTGACTGTGTGCTTTATGCTAATGAAGCAGCATTGGAATCAGGCAGCATGTTTTATCTTAAATCAATATTGCCTCCATAACTACAGCTGAAGTTATTTGACGATCTCAATTAGACATTGATATTCTAGCCTAAAATGCTTCTCTCCCTTTCAATCAAGTTATTATAGGCTATTTATCTTTCATTGTTATTGTTCAAATTTGGTCTGAATTGCAGTTCATTTCTATTCCTGCCAATCTCAAACAGACCACTCCCAGCACTTGACAAAGCAGGGTCGAATCTTCTCTCGTCCTTTTTAAATCCTAAGAGACCTCCACCAAGTCCAGCATTGTTGCCCAATATCATTTTAGTTCCAATTGTTCCTCCTAAACTGCTATTTGAGTTAAGATTTATGTTATTGTTGATATTGTTTGAATTAGTAGTGTGTATTCCAGTTTTTTACTTAATCTGAGTTACCTCGTCTTTCATCCTGTGCAGATCAAGGAACATTGACTGAATTTCAAGATCGTAATTCTATCTCAAGTTAACTAATTCATACTTCAACTCATCTATCTCTCTGTTTCTTCTCTTCTAACCCTCAATGAATATAATACTGTGGTTAAAGCTTTCTTCTTAGAGATGTTGGATGTAATCTTTTCTCAGAATCTCAATCTTACAACCCAAGTCATAGTAAGGACATTTAACCAACTGAAATTCACAAGTATCTCTGTGCTTATCAGTCAGCTGTCTCTGAATCTTCTAGCCACACTTGTTATCACAGTCAATAATCTTATACAAGCATCTTTCATCATGAGAGTACAGATCTTTGTAGATGATAACTGCATTGCACTTCTAGTTGGGACAGTAAACCTTTCTAAAGTTGCAAGTTAGCTTATGAGACTCCATCTCCTTTCTCTTTAGTCTTACATGGCAGCCTTCTTCAAACAAACTATCGCCTTTATTAGGGCAATCAACAATCTAAAGTGGGCAGTCAATATTAATATGTTTCTCCATGTCTCCTCTTTCAATAATACCTCCACATGCATTCTTGCAGTTAATTTGATATTTTGGACAATCTTAAGCAATGTGATCTTCAATATCGTTTAAAGGAAGCATAAGACTACACTTTAGCAAGCACTCTACTATTCTGTATGGGCACTCTTCATTCTTATGTCTTTCTAGCTCTTTTCTCATAATCTTGCCACACATTTCATTATTAGGGCAAGCAAGTGGGGTGAATTAGCAAACTTTGAGATGCTTGTCTATTTCTCCCTTCCTAATCACATCTTCACAGTATTGATTAATACAGCTTACAGATAATTCATTAACTAGTCTTCTTATTGGAATATTTGGCTTTAGCTAACCATTTATTCTTAAATTGCATAGTGGGCATGTTGGAGTTTTCTTGATACATTCTTCACAGAACAAGTTGTGACAACATGGTGTCTCTACAGCTTCCTCAAATATATCCAAGCAAATGGGACAAAGCCATCTATCATCAGATAAACTGGACGCTGCAAAGTAAGTGAATTTCATTGTCCCAGGGTTGTTGCTGCCCTTACCAGATATCCTTCCCCTTCTGGATGACTATCCACTAGAGTTCTCAATTTTACTCAGATTTTTAAGCGATGGAACTCTCTAAGACTAATTTTTGCTTAATTCCAGCTAATCTTCTTGTTTAATCTCCTCCTATACAAAATTTCTCTAGTTCATTAATTGAATATTTGCTTTCCAATTTGAGTTATCCTAACTTGTTTGGGAAAAGCTCTGTAGGATATGATTTGCAAGATCTGCTCTGCTTTCAATTTGTTGAGGGAGTCTTTCCAGTGATTGAAACTTTGAAGATGATTTTGAAGAGTTCTAATTGACTATGTCATCATCCTCAACTTCTTCAAGTACTGAATTTCTGCCTCTCTTCAGTAATAGTTCTTATTCTTCTTGCTGTTTCAAGATTAGATTTTCTGATTCGTTATTTTTTCTACTCATCCCAGCTATGACACTGCTTAGATTCAACTCTTTTCTCTCTTCAAACTCATCATTTAGATCAACGTCAAGGTTCAAGATTTAATTATTGCTGTCCTTAATATGAATTAATCCGTGATTTTTATTGCTACTGTGATTATTATTATTATTATTTGAGTGTGCACTCTAGAAGTTAAAGTTAATATTCTGATCGTTGGTATCTTTCATTGACTATGCTGCCCATTATATTACTTTATGGTGAGATTATTTATCATGAATATTTAAATCCATTAATTATCCATCAACTGAATGGTATGGAAGTGGGTAATGTGAGCCTGAATAAATCTTAGAGTTTAGGTTGAACTAATTAGAATATCCACTTAATGATTTTATATGGTGCTCACCATGAGCAAGAATTGTAGATTAAGAAGATTGGAGTTAGCGATATCGATTTATATCTGATTCATTTTAAGTGGACAATATATTTTGCTTATCCAGAATCATTTGGTCTATTTGCTCGTCTTTCCCTCTTTTTTGTGATGTAAGTGCTTCTAGATCATCTGATTCGTTATCGTTTAATAGCAGATAGTATCCTTTATCCTTCTCTTCTTCTTTGAACTAGTTCATGATTTGTTGATTTAAGTTGTTGACTTGGTTACTCTGAGAAGTTTAGTCCTCGTGAATTGACTCTTCGATTTCTATTATTTCAGGTATCTATAAATGATTAAATATTTTAATTTACAATTTCTTCTTCTTCCTCGAGAGATTAGTTCAAGTCTTCATTATCATTCATTCCTGAATCATAGATGAAATTTTACTTTTTAATCTTAACTTAATTCTGTGATTTTTTAAAATTTCCTATGTCACTAAGACTCTGGTATGAGTTCTTACTGATGAAAAAATCATCATCAATAACCTTAATAGGTTCAGGTAATTCATTATTATCACTTTTAACTTCTCTCATCTCATCTAGTTGGTTTAAATTTATATCACTATTTTGATTTTGATTTTTCCTTTGGAACCCTACACAGTTGATGGTGCTTAAAATAAATGAACTTACCATCATTTTCTAGAGACATTAAGTCCTCATCAATACCTTCTCTATTCTATCTCTCTCCCAGACTTTCCATTACGTTTTACCCTTCAAACTATGAATTAAATCTGTGAATGACCATAATTTGAGATTAAGATATCAAATGATTCTGATGTTGTGACTATTATTAAGAATTTCCAAGACTAATACTTTGACTCTGGCCTAAAACGCTTTTTTGCTGCGGCTGTCCTCCCAAAGCAACACCGCTCACATTTGCGCCAATAAGCTATTCACTCTAATATTGAACCAACTGAGACTAATTCAACTTAGCAATTGGGGAGATGTTGATCTCATCTATAAGATCGAGGATTGTATCGTCTCTCTATAGTTAGGTCTAATTCTAATTCATTTGATCAAGTTCATCTTGCAAAGCTTCATTCATTTTTCTAGGTCAGAAATTTAAAATGCTTTAAAGATAATTTATATAATCAAATCGCTTAAATTTTAATTTCATAATAAATCTAATTCAATTATTCTAAGTTAATACTCTAATTAAATCACAAAAGCAAAGATTCAATCAAAAATCATAAGGATTGTTAAGAACCTCATCTTATTTCTAGCCAGCACATTTTTCATAATGAGAGAAGTTCATGACAAACTATCCTTCACCTTTGGTACTTGATCTCAAATATGTAGTGTAGCCTACCATTTCTGACAAAGGAATAAGAGTATTAACACATTTCTTCTTTTCATCCACAATATTAGAATTAGAATCAGTTTCATCATAAAATTTAGCTTGGACATTTCTGATGCCTATCACAGAGCCTCCCCTTTTGCCTGTGATATCGGATAGTACCATTCCTACAACATGATCAGGGACTGAGATTTCTACATTCATATAAGGTTCCAATAGAGTTGGCTATGCTTCATCAATCAATTACTTAAGTAGTTAGGTCGCACCCATTTGGAATATAATAGGATTTCTACTTCTAATATTACTCCACTTGCCATCGAGAATCTTTACTCTAACATTCACCATTGGATATCCTAAAAGAGAGCCACTTTATAAGCAATCTTCTATGGCGTTCTGCATTGATACCTTGCTTTCAATTGGCAGTGAATCAAGTGATCTATATATTTCTAATGTAGCCTGGGTTGCCACATCTCTCTATCTCTTATTTTTAGCTTCGTACTCATCTCCTTCTAACTTAACTCTCTCTGATTTGGATTCTAGTTCCTCATAGACATTTGTAATTTCATTTTGTGCTAGATTCCCAACCAAGTTGCTAGATTCTAGAGTATCAATATCTAAATTGAAAGAGTCCTTTGATAATTGATAGGCCGACTTATCGTTTTCATCATAGACCATTGAGTCAAACTTTCTTTTTTGAAGTTCTTAAAAATCAACCTCTCCTAGAGTAGTTTCTATTTCCATTGATATATGGGCATAAAGATTCTAGCCTCCAATCACTTTTTCAAGAGTAAGATCTCCCCTTGATGAAGCTGCAATGGACTCACGATAGGCTACTCTCATTTTACCCAATTCTGATTTAATTCCATATTCTATCTCTATTCTGTCCCTCAGAATTTCTAAATGCAATTCACCTAAACCACTCACTAACAACTGACCAGTTTCTTGATCGTTTTTTACACTCTAAAATATTAATAAGAACATAATCATGGATAATTAATATTCTTACAATTGAAGGATCTTCTCTAGATAAATTAAACAGGATGCCTTCAAGCTCCTATTAGTCTCTGCTGTTTTCAGGCTCAATTGAACAGAAGAATACAGGTGGAGGCATCTTCACGCCCTCTAATATAATACGTTCCTCGTCTAAATCTTCAAGTAGAGTGTCACCACTTCTTATATCTTTGCAACCAGTAATAGCTCCGATGTCCCCTACTCCAATTTCATTGAGAAGTTGGGCTTCATCTGCTCTAACTCTGAGTAAAGACTGAATTCTTTCTGTTTTGTTCAAATTAGCATTCAAAATTCTTGACTTGTTCTTCAAAGAACCAGAGTAAACTCTGAAAAAGGTTACTAGTCCTTTTTCTTTGTCATTAACTACCTTAAATGCCAAAGCACATAATTTCTCCTTTTTCAATGCTGTCCTTGTAACTTCTTACTATGAGATTTAATTGACTCCTTTAACGACAATATCCTCAGGACTGGGGAGATATTTGATAACAGCATCAAGCAATGGTTAAATGCCTTTATTTTTCAAAGCACTTCCACAGAATAAAGCTACTGATTTCTATGTCATCAAGGAATTTCTTATGGCTCTTTCTATAAGTTCTTAGTTTAAGTTCTCTATAGGAACTCCAGATAGATATAAATCCCCAAGTTCATCATCAAAGTTTGCTAGTTATTCTATCAACTAAGTCCTGTATTCAAGAGTTCTGTTAAAGAGAGTGTGATTTTTATTAATCTCTTCAATGTTAACATTCTTTCCCTTATCGTCAAGATATTCATAAAGCATCATCGAGGGTAGATCAATAATTCCTTTCAGCTAATTGTTATCATTGCTAGGGACATTAACTAAGATGGGCTCCACTTTGAGTCTGCGCTTTATGCTCTCTAGAGTTGTTACTATATTTGAACCTTGTCTATCAAGCTTATTGATGAAACCAAGTCTGGGGATTTTGAACTTATTTGCCTGCATCCATACAGTTTCGCTTTGAGTCTGTATTTGATTATTTAAGGAAAATAACTTACTTCTACACCCTGCATTGCATCAAACAACGCTACTGCACCATCGCAAACTCTTAAGGACCGCTCAACTTCAGCCGTGAAATCAACATGCCCAGGTGTGTCAATTAGATTAATTTGATGTCCATACCAATTAAACGCGATAGTTGCAGCTCTAATGGTGATTCCTCGCTTTCTCTCCTACTCCATGTAGTCCATCACTGTGTTTCCGTGATGCACCTCTGATAAAATTATTAAGCAGATAACTTGCATACCACCAGGGTTTTCAAGAGCACCAGCATAAAACAACATTCTTTCAGTGCAAGTGGTCTTGCCTGCATCAATATGAGCAATAATACTTATGTTTCTGATTTTAGTGATATCTTTAAAAGTCAACTGAGATTAAATAATTCATACCTTCCATTGTATTAGAAATCAAGATATTCTCTTTTCCTTGCTAAACTTTGGTCTGCTTGAATCCAGAGGCAAAGAACCTTCTCTGGTATAGTTTCTGATTAAATAGCTGAATGCCATTTTAATAGAGTCTCCTCATTTCAAAGTAATAATTGTTAATTTAGCATTTTTGTAATAATTTATTTTGAGGCTTAAAACCATTCAAAGGGGTTTTGGGGTTTTGGGGTTTTGGGG